GTTAAAACATCGCACGCGCCAGAATGGGCGCACTAGCGCAAAATAAATGGAAATAAAAATATGTAATTCACTACAATTCTTCCACGTAATAAAATGTTTAGTTAAGCGCTGTGTGTTTTTATTACTTGCCAGAAGGCACGGAGAAGTAAGGAAGGAAAACAACAACTACTACCGATTGTGTAATTGTCTTGAGAATAACTGACTCATAACGGATGCCTTGTGGGGTGGGTGGTAACCGAATTGGTGTCCTGTCTCCTGCAAAACGAGAACGTGGCATCGTAATTTTGAAATGCGCTCGGCAGTGAATTTTACGTTCCATGTCGCTATTAATATTTTTTGTTACAAAAAAAGGTGTATTCATAGCGATAATAATATTGGCGATGATGATGATGACTACGGTGGCGATAATGCCGTATTACTCGGATTATACGACGCTTCGGAATGTAAGACGCACCCAGAAATTGTGCCCAGTCTCAATGAAGTCATCCAACACGTGGTGATCACACAGAAAGCAAGACAAAGATCCCCCCCCGCCCATCTCCCCAACCCCCGTGTAGCCTGTCACAGACTGTCGGGGCAAGTGCTGTTAGCGAGCACCTATGAAGGCCGGCACACGGCACACGAGGGGGCCGGTGGCCAACACCACACCCGGCCGCCTTTGTCTCCCCGGTGGGTGATGTCTACGCACCGCACTAGGTACTCATTTAAGGCCGAGTCGACATAGCGGCGGCCCAGGACCTGTTCAGATATTCATCGTTATTTGTCGCAAGCGGGAAAACGAATTCGGGTCGCCGGGTTCATAGCGCAGTGTGCTAACCACTTCACCACCGCTCCCCACCGAAAAGACAAAGATCCCCCGTATAGCTTTAACAGACTGCTCGGGCAAGTGCTGTTAACGAGCACCTATGGAGGTCGGAACGATGAAAGAGAGGGTGGGTGGCCAGCACCACGCCAGACCGCCTTTGTCTCCCCAGTGGAGACGTTTACACACCGCAGCAGGTACTCATTTGAGGCTGAGTTGACCTTAGGGAGGCACAGGACCGCTTCAGATAATTGTCACCGGTGATAGCCGTGAGCAAGAATCGGGTTCGTAGCTCAGCACGCTAACCACTACACCACCGCTCCCCACCATACACACACACATATATACCTACACACACACACAAAAAAAAATATTGCTTTCAAATACAGGGGGAGAAATGTGTGTGCCATGATCCGCAGAATACGTGAAGAGTCGTCCATCCAGGACAAGCCTCGAAGTGACCGACCGGGGAATCTCCCTCCTCGATCAGAAACAGAAGTGGCTAGCGGGGGAATATCCTGCCTTGATCAGGCGAATTTCGCGGCCTCTTGTGGCTGGAAGAGTGTCACGTGATCCCGTGGCACGAGAGACGTTCGCGAATTTTTGTTTTCTAATTTTAATTTCCTCTAACTCAGCCCACGCGTTTAAATGTGCGGGTTTAACAATCGACATTTCAGTGCATCCACGCATCTTCATCGCAACGCTTGCCGTGTCTGCATGGAGGTAGGCCTCCACAAACAGAGGTTTTTGGGGTTAGATCGTGCAAATATGAACTGCGTCGTTAAACCCGCTGCAGCCGATTAGTAAGGTCTGTCACGCAAAAACAGAACGTGCCAATTCGTTACGAGTACAGCACCGACCGTTGTGTTGGAGAGTAAACCCACTGCGACATTAACCAGGGGCAGGTCTGTACGCACACAGCGCGCGTGTACAAATCACTGACAAATCGGAAACCCTTTGAGTGACGGCCAAAACGAGTCCGCAATTTCAACCCCATCGGAACCCCCTCTTGAGCATTTGACATGATATACATTATACATGTACGTGCTGCAGCAAGATAATATACATTATACATGTACGTGCTGCAGCAAGATGATATATACTTGCGCTGTTTTAAAATGATATACACGCGTGCCTGCCTGTATTAGAACCACGGTTAACTGTCGGTGGACCTGTCAGGGTGTCAGGAAAACGAATGAATGAATGGGAGGGCACCTTCAAGGTTACCGCTGCGCCCTTCGTTGGAGAACGCGGCGGTGAATGTGGACTACGCGTGGAGGGAACGTGTCACACCCCCCCCCCCCACACACCCCCGCGGGCAAAAGGCGCTGCACCGGTAAACACGGGGAAACGTTTGGCCAACGTTCTGCGACCTGCCCTCTCACATGCTTCATCAAGGGCACCGCGGCGGCGAGGTGTTAACTACCTCGCCTGGTATACAGGAGGTCGAGGGTTCGAACCCGACCCTGACGCCTGCTGTGTATTTGGAGTTTGCGGTGTCTCTCTCTCTCCCTGTAGAGATGTTAACTACCTCGCCTGGTATACAGGAGGTCGAGGGTTCGAACCCGACCCTGACGCCTGCTGTGTATTTGGAGTTTGCGGTGTCTCTCTCTCTCCCTGTAGAGATGTTAACTACCTCGCCTGGTATACAGGAGGTCGAGGGTTCGAACCCGACCCTGACGCCTGCTGTGTATTTGGAGTTTGCGGTGTCTCTCTCTCTCCCTGTAGAGATGTTAACTACCTCGCCTGGTATACAGGAGGTCGAGGGTTCGATCCCGAACCTGACACCTGCTGTGTATTTGGAGTTTGCGGTGTCTCTCTCTCTCTCTCCCTGTAGAGACGTTAACTACCTCGCCTGGTATACAGGAGGTCGTGAGTTCGATCCCGACCCTGACGCCTGCTGTGTATTTGGAGTTTGTGGTGTCTCTCTCTCTCCCTGTAGAGATGTTAACTACCTCGCCTGGTATACAGGAGGTCGAGGGTTCGAACCCGACCCTGACGCCTGCTGTGTATTTGGAGTTTGTGGTGTCTCTCTCTCTCCCTGTAGAGATGTTAACTACCTCGCCTGGTATACAGGAGGTCGAGGGTTCGAACCCGACCCTGACGCCTGCTGTGTATTTGGAGTTTGCGGTGTCTCTCTCTCCCACTGTAGAGATGTTAACTACCTCGCCTGGTATACAGGAGGTCGAGGGTTCGATCCCGAACCTGACGCCTGCTGTGTATTTGGAGTTTGCGGTGTCTCTCTCTCTCTCTCCCTGTAGAGACGTTAACTACCTCGCCTGGTATACAGGAGGTCGTGAGTTCGATCCCGACCCTGACGCCTGCTGTGTATTTGGAGTTTGCGGTGTCTCTCTCTCTCCCTGTAGAGATGTTAACTACCTCGCCTGGTATACAGGAGGTCGAGGGTTCGAACCCGACCCTGACACCTGCTGCTGTATATTTGGAGTTTGCGGTGTCTCTCTCTCTCCATGTAGAGATGTTAACTACCTCGCCTGGTATACAGGAGGTCGAGGGTTCGATCCCGACCATGACGCCTGCTGTGTATTTGGAGTTTGCGGTGTCTCTCTCTCTCTCCGCGTGCATTTTTCTCCGGGTCCACAGTTTTTCTTTTCCCACCCCACAATTTAGAATCAACAGCACGCCTTAAGATAATTTGCCTGCAATACATTTCCACACGTGATAAGCCACTTCATTGGGCTATCATCTGTGGCCAGGTCGCTTCTGAAAAAAAATCTGCTTAGCTCAGTGAGCCTTCCACCTGGTAAAAATGTAAAAATAAAGTTTAGTCACGTAGAAGGGAAATAATAAAATAATAAAAATAAAACATAATAAAATAATTCTCACGACGTTTCGGCCACAACGCAAGCAGCCACTTCTCCCCGACAGACCTGTTCTCCACCTGAGGACGGCTGCTTGCGTTGTGGCCGAAACGTCGTGAGAATTGTATTTTATTATGTTTTATTTTTATTATTTTATTATTTCCCTTCTACGTAACTTTACCGAAAGAACCAAGAAGATGAATCCCTGCAGTCACGAAAGCTTTAAATCGAAAAATAAAGTTGAGTTTTTTCTAGTTTGGAATTGCACGGCGGGACGGAAGGAGGGGCGCGTGGAGGAGAGCAATCAGCGGTGGAGGGGCTCGGGATTGCGACATCGCAGCAACAGCACGCGGGGACGGCGATGGAGTTTGGAGGCCTTCATCCAGCAGTGGATAGAGTGTGGCCGATGATGATGATGTGCGCGCGACACTCGGCCACGTCAGCCCAACCCGAATCTCGTCGACCCTTCGGAAAATTCCCCTCCCATCACAAAGCTCACCTCGAGGTCTCCGTACGTAATACTGGAAAATGTCGAGCACGTTTAAGATTTGCCCAGATGCAGTTCTCTTATGTTTAAAGCCCCCTTAGCCAGTGGTGCAAACTCCACATTCCTATGGCAGGGGCGATTATTTCCATATGACAACCGCTCTTGACTTCCTCCACAAAGCGGTACCAATTTTATCGACCCTCTCCCAAACAGAATTTGAACTCCGCGCCCTTCCGATTGCGAGCCGCTCGCTCCGCCGCTGAGCAGCCTAGGAATGGAAGCAGCAGCAGCAGCCAGGACTTGATATTCGTTGGAGTTGTCCGATAGGGAGGAGGGGGGTGGGGGGATGAGAAGTGGGGGGGGGGGAGGGAGTTGGGGGGGTGGTGGATCCCAGTATCTGGCCGAGACATCACACGCCTGCGCCAACCACAACACCCACCGCTCCCAATCGCAATCCTACAATTCGCGTAAACCGGGGGGGGGCTCGGCAAACCCCCCGGCCATCCGGAGCCGCACGGGGCACCTTCAAGGACTGCTTCGTCGTCATGTTGCTCATTGGCCGCGTTGCATTGCGGCTCCAGAAATGTCAAAGGTCAATTTTTTTTTTTTTTACCGAATTCAAAAAAAAAAAGTCTCCCTCCCGTTGTTTCGGGTATACCGACAACCATCCCTTGGCGTGTCGCGTCGCGAGCGAGCGAGCCCCAACGACCGCTCGCCGATCCCACGAGGCCAATCGCTTCCGTGCGTCGCGGACAAAGAAACCTCCTCTACCCCCCCCCCCCCCGCGCACCCCTCCAAACAATGAAATGAAGGAACAAAACTGAACATCGGCAACGCCGAGAGAGCGAGTCGGAGCTACGGACTGCAGACCCCCCCCCCCCGAGGCCCGTTGCGCTGCGGTGGCGGCATTGGCAGCGTCGCTGCCGAGCCGGTGTACAGGCGGTGCAACTGCGCCGGAAGCCCCACGGGAAATTGCGACCGGGGGCTGGAGGGGGCCCTGGAGCCACGGGGCCAGGGTAGGGGGGGGGGCATTGCGATGTGGGGTCGAGGGGCCGGAGAGGATTACCAAGGGGCACAAAAAACATCGAAACAGAGCTTCCAATTCTGTATGTGGCACCGGCGGAACCCGTGCCAGCCACTGGGCAAGTGGACAAACAGCTCGGCGGAGGTGCGTGCCATCGCAGCTTCGTGACGACCACAGATTCGTCGTGGTGTGTCGCTTGTTGTTGTTGTTTTGTTTGGGGGGTTCGCCGACAGCTCCTCGCTCAGCAGAGTTGTTTTTGTTTTGTTTGGGTCAGAGTCCACTTTTGCGTCAGGAGACGCACGGACGGTCCGCACGGTCGCAATATCTCTCTGCCCACTCGGCGCTTGCAGTCATCTTTGTTGTCCTGTAGTTGGGTGGAAGGGAGGGGGGGCTCTATGTATTTATGTACATTGCTGTTGTGCGTGCGTGCCACTGCGCGTGTCACTGCGTGCGCGCGCGCACACACTCGCGTGCGCCCCACCATGGACTGAATCCTTTCTCGAAATTATTCGCACGCGAGATCACGACTCTTCGTGGCTATTGGTACGAGTGGCGATGAAGATTACGATGAGTATGCATATGATGAAGATCGCGACGATTTGTTAAACGGTTATGAATTTTCACAACGTACAATTTGCATCGTTGTAGTTTTGACAGCGGTCGCGGCTGCCAAGGGTTGTCGTGGGGGGTGGGGTGGTGGGGTGGGGGGGGCGATCTGCCACGGACCTCACAAAAAGAGGGCCCCCAAAAATCGGGCCTGAGGATGAGGAGCCACCACGCGGAATTCCACCCCTGGCCTCTTAAAAGAACAAAACCCTCTCGGCGATGGTGGTGATGTCACGTGATATGTGGTGATGTCACGTGGTTCGTGGTGCCGCTGCTGAAATTCACTTTTTGATGCCGCTGCTGCTGATGGTGATGATGGTGGTGATGGTGATGATGGTGGTGATGGTGGTGATGGTGATGATGGTGATGATGGTGATGATGATGGTGTTGATGGTGATGATGGTGGTGGTGGTAGTGAAACTTGCCACTGGTGATGCCGATAAATACCGTTGCTCATTGATCACCGTTAGTTATTTTTGAATCGTCACGAACTGTGCTGATGATGACGACGGGATTTATTTGAAATTACTTTTCCGCTCATTTAAAAAAGTGGGGAGAAATAAGTTAATTGCCGTGGTGACATCGATGGCTACGACCGTGCGCATTGCGTTTCAACTCAACAATTGCCGATACCGAATTGACTTGACGACGACGACGATGAACGACCTCGTAAAATAATTCACCCACCACGTGGTGGAGGGTTGGAGGGGGGAGGGGAGACAACATTTGTAGCCGTGCGGCGGCGTCATCGTCGTCGGTCGTAATTCGATTCGGGAATAATTTTCCGCTCGCAGTGGCGCTGCGCACACGTCGAGAATAATCGTCGACGCTGACAACGTGCGGCGAGCCGAGCCGTCGGCGCGTCGCGATGCTTAGCGGCGTCGCTCGATTTCAACGCCGGACATTATTTTAAGACAACACAACAGTGATCTGGGACGATGACAAATTACTCGGGGAGATCAATTTAGGACGGCGAGGTTCAAAAACTGTGGAAACTGCGTTCAATGCGAACCGGGCGATTGCGAAGAGGGCGGTTGTGAGAAAACGGACGGTGGGTTCTGGAGGAGCACAGCGATGATTTTGACCAACAACAAAACAATACGACTTGTTTTAAAGAACCGACGGTGGTGAGCGATTGACGACGATGACTTCAAACGAGTTTGCGATGACGTCTCGGCCGGCGACGATCTCCACTGGCGATGACGATGGCGGCGCGGAGTGACGTAACGTTCGCACGTCCCGCACCATCGTCTCTACCACCACCAGTAGCTCGCACTACCACAACCACCAGCAGCAGACGCACCACCACCAGCACCACCAGCAGTATCACCAGCAGCACCACCACCAGCAGCACCACCAGCAGCACCACCAGCAGCACCACCACCAGCAGCACCACCAGCAGCACCACCACCACCACCACCAGCAGCACCACCAGCAGCACCACCACCAGCAGCACCACCAGCAGCACCACCAGCAGCAGCACCAGCAGCATCATCACCAGCAGCGGCACCACCGGCACCACCACGCTACAGGTTGGAGGAGAGCCTGGCCCGTGCCGGCTCGCCGCCCTCCCCGGCCACCACCACCGAGTCCCTCTTGACGAGGCTCAGCTCCCGCGCGAGCGGCGCCCCGGGCACCCACGGCACGCCGCCGTGGGGGCCCACGGACGCCGACGACGGCTGGCGCCCCAGCAGCGTCGCCGCCCTCCCTCGCGACAGCCCCTGCTGCTGCTGCTGAGCGCCGGCACCGGCGGCACCAGCGGCGGCCGTCGTGGGCAACATCGGCGGAGGCAGCGCCCCCCACCGCGCGGGCGCCGTCCCGCCGTCCGCGGGGCCGGAGCCCGTCCCGCCCGGCGACGCGGCGGTGGCCGACGGCGCCGCCGCCGCCGCGGCCCGCGCCGGCGCCCCGCCGTCGTGGTGCTTCAGCGCCGGCTGCGACTGCGAGAGCGGCCGCGCGTCCCGGCTCAGCGCCGTAGCCGCGGCGCCGACGCCGCCGACGCCGGCCGAGGAGGAGGAGGAGGCGCCGGTGCCGGTGCCGGCGGTCGTGCCGCTGCGTCCCAGCGTCTGCGCGCTGCGGTGGGCGGCCCTCCGCGGCGTGTGCGGGGGGCTGCCGCCGGCCTGCTGCTGCTGCTGGCGCGGCGAGCGCGGCCGCGAAGGGGAGGAAGAGCCGCCCTTCACCGACGCGGCGCGGGAGGCGGACGGCGCCGAGGGCGGCGGCGGCGGCAGCGCCGGCGGGGGCGAAGTCGCGGCGCCGATCGACGGCCAGAGCCACGTGGCCGCCGGCTGCTGCGGCTGCTGCTGGGGCGACTGCGCCGACGACTGCGGCGCGGAGGAGCGCGGCCGGTGCTGCGCGTGCGGCGTGGTGCCCTGGTGCGTGAGCGCGATGGTCACGGAGGCGGCCGTGTTGATGAGGGAGTTGACGGCGGCGCTGCCCCCCGGCGACAGGGCCCCCTGCGCCTGCTGCTGCGCGTGCCGCTGCTGCAGCTGCTGCTGCTGCTGCGCGTGCTGCTGGGCGGCGGCCTCCTGCAGCGTCATCTCGCGGTCGTAGCGCACGATGCGCTGGATGATGTCGTGCTCGCTCGTGTTGAAGATGCCCTCGTTGAGGTCGTCTTGCATCTTGTGCAGCAGCATGGAGTTCTTCTTGCCTGCCGCGGGCCGACAGCGTTCAACGGTGAGAGGAGACATGGAACACCAGAACGAGAGAGAGATCATTTACCATCCCTCCCCCCCCCTCACTCCTCGTCTGGAACAGATGGGATAGGTTTGCCCCCACGGCATCCTGGGAGTTTGTAGTTTCAGCAGCAGCATTGGTTCAATGCGGGCAAGGCAAGGCTCCGGTTTTGATATTCAGTGTCTCAGAGCATCTCTTCAAGAGACTCGGTTCTAAGCTTTTCAGTTGCTCTGGAATTTGGTGAATTGCAGATACATCCACTCACTCAACCACTCACCCAATCACCCACCCACTCACCTACTCACCTACTCACTCACCAACTCACCCAATCACTCAACCACTCACCTACTCACCTACTCACTCACCAACTCACCCACCCAACCACTCACCTACTCACCCACCCACTCACTCACCAACTCACCCAATCATTCAACCACTCATCTACTCACCCACCCACTCACTCACCAACTCACTCAATCACCCACCCACTCACCTACTCACCCAATCACTTACCAACTCACCCAATCACTCACCCACTCACCTACTCACCCACCCACTCACTCACCAACTCACCCAATCACTCACCTACTCACCCACTCACTCACCAACTCACCCAATCACTCAACCACTCACCTACTCACCCACCCACTCACTCACCAACTCACCCAATCACCCACCCACCCACTCACCTACTCACCTGCACACTCCTCACCCACCCACTGCCTACACGTCTATATTTGGCGCATTGCGGAGTTCTGTGGGCCATGATTTGACCTGGGAGTGGAGTGGGGGGGGGGGGTCGAGGGCCTCTCATTGTGGGGGGCGAGAGGCAGCGGTGTAATAGGAGGCGGCGTCTGCGGGGTGGAGGGTGGCGCACGCTCTTAGCGGCTCAATGTTGGCGAACAGGACACCGGTGATGGTGGGGTCACGTCCCCCCCTGTGCCGATGTGGAGCCGATGTGGAGCCGACGCGTCCCAAATATTAATTGATTGTTCGGCTGGAGAAAGGCACGAAGAGTGGGTGTGTGAATGCGTGTGTGGGGGGGGGGGCGTGAGTGCGTGTGTGTGTGAGTGCGTGTATGGCGGTATGAGTGCGTGTGTGTGGTGTGAGTGTGTGTGTGGTGTGAGTGCGTGTGTGTGTGGTGTGAGTGCGTGTGTGTGGTGTGAGTGCTTGTGTGTGGGGGGGGGGGGGGGGGTGAGTGCATGTGTGTGTGGTGTGAGTGCTTGTGTGTGTGTGGGGCGGGGGGGTGCGTGTGTGTGTGGTGTGTGTGTGTGGTGTGAGTGTGTGTGTGGTGTGAGTGTGTGTGTGGTGTGAGTGCGTGTGTGTGGTGTGTGTGTGTGGTGTGAGTGTGTGGTGCGAGTGTGTGTGTGGTGTGAGTGTGTGTGGTGTGAGTGTGGTGTGAGTGTGTGGTGTGAGTGTGTGGTGTGAATGTGTGTGTGGTGTGAGTGTGTGTGTGGTGTGAGTGTGTGGTGTGAGTGCGTGTGGCGGTGTGAGTGCTTGTGCGAGTGTGTAGGGGGTGTGAGTGCGTGTGTGTGGTGTGAGTACGTGTGTGTGGGGGGTGCATGTGTGTGGGGGGGTTTGTGTGCGTTTGTGCGGTGTGAGTGTGTGTGGGTGTAAGTGCGAGTGTGTGTGTGTGCCTCAAATGAGTACATGGTGCGGTGTGTAAACATGAACACTTCGGGAGATAAAGGCGGCCGGGCGTGGTGCTTGCCACCCACCCCCTCGTGTGCCATGCCGGCCTTCATAGGTGCTCGCTAACAGCACTTGCCCCAACAGTCTGTTGAGGCTGTACGGGGGATCTTTGTGCTTCGAACCTGGCGACCCGAGTTCCATTCCCGCTCTCGACCAATAACAGTGGTGAATATTTGAGCCGGTCCTGGGCCTCCCCTAGGTCGACTCAGCCTTAAAACGAATACCTGGTGAGACGGACTTCGCCGTGCGTGATGCTGGCCACGCACGTGGGCCGTGTCGGCCTTTAATAGTGGCTCGCTGACAACACCTGCCCCAACCTTCCATTACATCAAATGGGGGATTGGAGCACGTGTGTGTGAGCGCGCGCGTGTGTGTGCACGTGTGTGTATGTGCACGTGTGTGTGTGCACGTGTGTGCGTCAACGTGTCTCTCCTGAAATATGATTTGCCCTTTGGCTCCAAAGGAAATGGCTTTTAAGTGACCTCTGTTCTTTCCACTCATTTAACTCACAGCTCTGTCTTGCACTCAAAACGACACCGGCATAAATCATTCTACCGGTGGTGTGTAGTCGTGTAGGCCGATCTACTTCTATGATTGTAAACCGGTAAGCAAGCTCCAACCTGCTTGCTAGTAGCGCAACGCGCTGACCGCTACACTACCGCTCCCCACACGTACACACACACACACGTATAGCACAGATTGGCCATGGTCAGAATGTATCGGACAGGGCATTGCCAAGGAACGTGGAGATCATTCCTTGAGGCCTCCGTGCCGTGGGTGGGTTGGCGTAATTGGCCTACTCTTCCATGCGGGACAATCTTCTTGGGAGAGTTGGGAGCACCCACACTTTACCCCATGACTGCACACGACCTGCCAATCGATTCCGTGGTCTACACCAGCGGGCCCCAACATTTTTGGCACCAGGCACCGGTTTCGTGGAAGACAATTTTTTCACGTACCGGGGGTGGGGGGGGTTCATCATTGGGTCTTTCCCCCATTTTCAAAGAAGCTCTCCAGCTACGTTTGTTTTTACTCATTTTGGCTACTAGGGGTTAATAGCTTGTGGGCTCACCAACACTGAGACAAGTGCGCAGTGCGGGAAAGACGCGCGGACGGAATTGGTCAATAATAAAATCATGGGGGGGGGCCACGCGCGGACTCACCGCTCTCACCTTCTGCTGCTGTGCGGCCCGGTTCCTAACAGGCCACGGACCGGTACCGGTCCGCGGCCCGGGGGTTGGGGACCTCTGATCTACACAATCATCCTGCTGGGTGGATAGAGGCAGGGAGTGTGGGGGGGTAAATCTAAAAAAACTTCCACCGTTGTTTCATTCGCCATGTCAGGGAGAGCCAATCGAAGTTGTGACCCCACGGAATGCCAGTCCGCTGCGCTAACCGCTTACACCGCAGCAGCAGCAGCAATAGAGCAGCAGTAGCAACAGCAGCAACACAGCAGCAATAACAGCAGCAGCAGCAGCAACACAGCAGCAATAACAGCAGCAATACAGCAGCAGCAGCAGCAACAGCAGCAATACAGCAGCAACAACAGCAGCAATACAGCAGCAGCAGCAACACAGCAGCAATAACAGCAGCAGCAGCAGCAACAGCAGCAATACAGCAGCAACAACAGCAGCAATACAGCAGCAGCAGCAACAGCAGCAACACAGCAGCAGCAACAGCAGCAGCAACATCAGCAGCAACACAACAGCAGCAACAGCAGCAGCAACAGCAGCAGCAGCTGCAAGAGAGCAGCAGCAATACAGCAGCAGCAATACATCAACAGCAGCAGCAGAAATACATCAACAGCAGCAGCAACAGCGCTGCCTTGGTTGTGCGAGAGTCGTTAACTAAGATCCACGTCCCCGCGATCTGTCTGGGCAGTGTCGGGGCGAACCCATGAATTCTGAAAAGTCGTCGCGCCGTCTTATCAGTTTCTGCCAAAAAAACAACGAATAAGGAGGGCATGACAGAGGCAGCTGCGGCAGCAGCTTGAAACGATGTGGACGTAGGAGCTGTAGCAGGATAAAATAAATCAGCGATAGAATTATAAATTATGTTCACGTAGAGGGAAGACAAGTCAGCGTGGAGGGGAGGCCTAATATGGGTTTTTTTCGATCCTCAAATCGTCTCTTTAGATCCAGAAATTATGTGACAGGAAACTTAACGATAAAAAAAATTAACCCGTATAAAAACAAAGTTTTTCACTCTAAATCCTTTATATGCGTGGCGGCTAGAGTCCTCTCGTCCTCTGGCTTGAGATGGCTGCGACCTATGGGTCAGATGATTGCCTGCCACCATTAAGAAATTGGTAATAAAATATAAAAGCATTTTTCCTAAAAAGTGTAAAAATTTGGAGAAAAAAAAATCACGAAAATTAATTGTCACGCACAACGAGTCTGTGTGCAAAATGTCAGCTCGATTGGATCACGGGAAGTGGGTTAAAAAACGACCGAAAGATTTGCACGGTCGTAAGCGCGCAAGCAAGTGAACTTAAAATAAAGGATTTAAAAATTAGTTCTAGATTTGAAGCTTTCGTGACTGCAATGATTCATACTCTTAGGTTTTTTCGATAAAGTCACGTAGGTGAAAATAAATAAAATAAATAAATAAAGTTATACTAACTAATAATAAACATAAAAATAATAGAAATACGTGACTTTACCGAAAAAACCTAAGAGTATAAGAAAAATTTTATTCAAAATATCACGGCTTGATCCATGCTGGAACACATCGGCACACGCGTTCAAAATATCAGAGCCATGCTTAATCCATGCTCTAACACACGCACACAAGTATTCACAACATCATAACCATTCTTAATCCACGTTCGAACACATGCACACAAGTATTAAAAACATAACCATTCTTAATCCACGTTCGAACACATGCACACAAGTATTAAAAACATAACCATTCTTAATCCATGCTCGAACACATGCACGCAAGTATTCAACATATCAATACATTTGCCCATGGGTTCGATCATGTATCAAGCTTGGATCAAGCTTCGTATCGTTTAAAAAAATCGCTCGATCCCCGTTTAATCGTGCATTGGATCGTTAAAAACACTATACTCTTAGGTTTTTTCGGTAAAGTTACGTAGGTAAAAAATAAAATTTAAATTAATAAAAGTAAAATAAAAAATCACGACGTTTCGGAGGCAACACAAGCTTCCGTCTTCAGGTGGAACCGTCACAGCACGATTGCTGTATTATTTAACTTTTATTAATTTTAATTAATTTTTTACCTACGTGACTTTACCGAATAAACCTAAGAGTATGA